TTTTTTTTTTTTGTTAGAAGTCACCAGAGGAATGAACATGGAAGTTCTGGAGGCGGTCGTGCAGGAATGGGTAACATGTGTCGTGCTGCTGCACTTCTGTGTGGCCAAGCATTCACTGACAACGAACTGATGTCAGATCTTCCGAAGAAAAAATTCACTGGTCGTTGTAGATTATTTGTTGGTAATTTACCGAATGATTTAAAGGAAGACGAGTTGAAAGAATTGTTTAGTCCCCATGGCGAAATCGCTGAATGCTATTTGAGCGGGAAAGGATTCGCTTTTTTAAGAATGGTTTGTAATCATTAAATTCTTTACAGTGAATAGTTATGTATTCTCTTATAATTTTCCTTAGTTGTATGTAACGTTTCTTAAAGCATTTTTGCAGGATACCAGGGCACATGCAGAGAGTGCCAAAGAGTCGGTTGATGGGAAATTGATTCACGGCAGACCAGTGCGTGTTAGATTTGCCGTTCATGGTGCAGCTTTGAGAGTCAAAGAGCTTTCTGCAGCAGTCTCTAATGAGCTGTTGTACCACGCTTTTTCCGCTTTCGGCGAAGTGGAAAGGGCGGTACATATAGTTGACGAGAAAGGGAAGCCTACAGGGGAAGGAATCGTTGAGTTTGAGCGTAAATTACCTGCACAAGAAGCTCTTCATCAAATCCGGGATAAAGTTTTCCTACTCACGTCGTAAGTAAATTTTTGATTTTCTACCGTATGGAGTTAAGTCTTCTAGAACAACTGTTTGGAGTTTGTTGTTCAGATTTAATATATTTTTTTGTCGTCTTCCACAGTCTCATGCTGGCGTTTTCTTGAATACAAGTTTTTTATAAAGGTCTTAGAGGTCATTGAGTTTACACGTAGCAGAAAGCTTCGATCTTGAATTCTTTCATTTCATTTTATTTCTTTTATTTTTTGGAGGGAAGGAGTATATCTGCAAAGATGACGCGTTCATGCAAAAGTTTGTCGCACATACGGAAGGCTTGATTTTTGACAGTTTTTTGAGTTTTTAATGGATAGATCAGGAATGGAAAGAATGTTCGGCAGGTAGAGTGCATAGTCCTTGGGTATTGTTTTTTATGGAGAGAGTTTTTTCATGGTTAAGCTAGTCAATGAACTACCTGACGATATCTTAGTAGTGACAACGGAGAGGCAGTGGCAGAACTATCACTGCAATGTTTCTTTACGTGTGAACGGTTATTCTGAAAAAAAATATCGTTTATCTTTTGTGTTTAATAGGTTGTGGTGATACAACTATTCGGATGTCTTTGCTCAAAAACGTAGTTTAGAAAAGCAAGAAGTATCTTCGTTTTTTATTGTTTAATTTTTAGTTGTGGTACTTTCTAAAGGTGTCAAAAAGTCGGGAAGACTTTTGACTTCTGACACTTTGTCTACAGCATTGTAACACTGGAGCAACCTCGTCTCTTCGTTTAAACCTATTATGATTGACATTTTAACCATTTAACATCTTTTTCTTGGAGCAAGATGACTAGTCTTTAAATGTATCGTGCATTTTTCATCTGTTTATTTTGAGTTAATGGTCTCTACCTGTTCTTACAATGTCCTTGGTTTTGTTTCTACTTGGTACCGTTGATTATATAGGAGCCCAAAACCGTTGGTTGTGGAGATGTTGGAGCCGAAGGATGAAGACGATGGACTAGCAGAGCGAATGATTTCGCGGAGTCCCCAGTTGCAAAAGTACTGTTTTCATATCTTTTCAGCGTATGAGAGTAAAGCATTTCTGTATTTTGTAGGTAGAGTAAGGCATTTTTCACGTATTTTGCATTTTCACTGAATGAAAAGCTTTTGAAATTATTTTAAACCAAATCCATTTTTATGGAGTTTATAGTACCACTTACAGTTCTTTTTCGTCTAAAATTTGGAATTCAGTTTCTTTGTTAAAGACATGTGCTGTAGTATACAAAACTGATCTTGGTGTTCGGAGTTGCACACTTGGCTTGATACGGTTGGTCGTTTAAACTAGTCATGTTGCCTGTTGTGCTCGATATATTGAAATTTGATGGACTGGACTTGCTGTTTTGGACTAAACTAGCAGCATTTACTTTCTTCTGCTGGTTCTGGATTAATTGTTTTCGGACTTCTTACCTTCAGATTTATCTTTACTGGACTTTGTAGATTTTGTCTAGTATATTGGCAGTGGAATTCTCTTCATTTTCTTTGAATTTGAGTAAGTAAATAAAGAGCGGTGTTTTATTCATTTTTAGTTTTACTTATATCTTATAGCCACCCGTCGTTCAAGTCATGTGTGTATCTCTGGTGCCACAGGTTACTATTTTTTTCTTTAGAAAATGACTCTGACACTTTGCTTTTTCTTGTTTGACTTCTGTTTGAATTTGCTTTTCAAGAAATAACTCTTGGAACGGCTGTTTTGAAGTTGGGGTCTTTTTCAGGCGGCCACTTGTTTATCTGAACAAAGTTTTAACTGTTGTTTTACCGAAACAAATTTTAACGTTTTGTGCTGGCGTATGATTCTACAGCTGCAGTATATGGGGTTTCGTGTCACTGCAATTTATTATTTTTGTGTAGTTTTCAGCTATTCAGAAAAGCACATTTTTTTAGAGGTTTGAGAGGGGGGAGTATTTTGGTTACTGAGGTTTCGATTTGTGTCAACATATCATTTTTGACATAGGTTTTGACAACAAGTTGAGAAAGTGTTTTTTTTTTTTTATATCGTGGTTTTCTTTTTGGGACGGTGTTCTTGGCTTTGCCTTTCAAATTTTGAAAATGTATTAATTGATCTTGAGACTGCTGTTAGTTCCTTAGCAGTTGTTTTGCCCTCCGGTGGTGGCATTGATGTCATGTGTAGCTTTGATCTCAGAACTACCTATCGTTTTTTAAATTTATGTTAGCAAAACTCGGTCTTATTGTACGAATGCACTTTATAAGATATATTTAATTATCCAGGTTTGAAGCGAATCGAGCTTTTGTTTTCACTCAGCAGAAACCGGTAGGGTGTTTGGGTTACATGATGTCTACGACATTCGTCAATTTCATTCTTTTTCTGCTCGATTTTGTAGTAGTTACTTTTTTTTTCAATTAAAGGGTTAAGATGAGTATTTGTATAGGTTTAGATCCTCTATTTTTATTTTACTCCATTTTTTCGCAGTTGTGGTTCCAAGCTGCTTTTGTTTTTTCTGTGTATAGACCGAGAAAGCAATTATTTTACCCTGCCACTTAGTTGCAGAGATAAGTTAGGTTAAAATTATAGTCAGTTGATTGAACATTGAAGAATTTATATTCCCTTTTGATATAGCCCAGTTGTGGTAGTGGTATATTAAGACAGTTTGCAAAAAAAATAAATGCCTGTGTAGGGAGCGTGAATTGGGTCCCCGTTTCCCACCGGCTAACAGTTTCGAGTACGTTTTTGGTTTAAAATGGAAAGAGCTTTATGAGATGGAAAGACAGCGTAGGAATCAGCTTGAAGAAGAGCTCAAGGAGGCTCGTAGACGATTGGAAGCTGATATGGAAATCGCCTATCAGGACTACCAAACACAAATGCTTCGTGAAGGCAAGGTTTATTCAGTTGAATTTAGATGCAGCCGCGTGAACGGTTTTTCTTTCAATTTATTTGTTGTATAATGCCTAATGGCGTTATGACGAGTGCTCTTAGGTTGGATTTTGAAAATATTGGTTTGTTTTTCATACTTGTAGTTTTTATATTCTCGTTTGAGATGCGTTTTTCTTTTTATATCATCATAAATCTCTCTCTTTCTTTTAAGATCTTATTATTTTTATTATAATTATATTTATTATCATAATTATAATTATTATTATTATTATTATTATTATCACCATTACTATTATTTAACTTCATCTAATTTTGTCTGCCTTCGTGCATAAGTGTGAGTGAGTGACCAGTATGCTTCTGTGAGGAATTGTGTCAGAGTAGTAAGTGATGTACTGTCTGCGGATGCGATTATCGAGCTCAGGAAATGTGAACAGTGAAGTGGTTGCCTTTTTTACAGTGATGTTACTTCTAAGAATCTACAGACTTTGATTTGCTTTTTCTTATTTCTGCCATTTCGGGTCATTTTGAAGTCAGTTTCATTATTGATTTAGAGACCGGTTAATTTCGTGCACCTTGATTTACTGGCAGAGGTTACATTTTAAATCATGAAAATAGGTAAAGTTTTCGTAAACATAATGTTTAGTCCTTTGAGAAACAAGCTTTGGAGATTTTTTCCCAAGATGTAGTTTTGTTTGTTGCTTGATGTGCTGGGATTCCGGATTAGATTTTGTGCTCTACATAATACTGAGAGCCAGGCGTGTTAGTAGAGTGTTTAGTGTCACCGTTAATAAATCAAGAATACTGGAGGCCTCAAGGCTTGGATTACAGACTTCTTTTTCCTCTCGTTTTGATTTCAAAGTTAAGTTTGGTGTTGTGGAGGCTTCATTTCTTGTTGCTTAAATTAATGCTGTGGGATGAAGTCTTTATTCTAGGCGATGATTATTTAAGCAAGGATTTTTTAAAACCTGTATTTTACGGATTGTTTTGTAATTTTGTTTTACCTTCTATTTTGGGCCTCAAAAGGGTTTTATGGGACTGCTGTTTTAGAATCTTGTGTCTGTTTTCTGTAGAGGGATATTCGATTTTTAATCCTGTTCTACTGAAATATTTGTCATTTTTCACATAGTTGTGTTATTGTGTCATCTGTTAGTCATTTCGTTCTTTGTGAGTTTCTACTGTATCTATCGTACTTCTAGTTATTATTTTACTCAAACTACTTCTCCATTTTTCTATTAACTATTTTTATTATATTTATGTTTTAGATCTTGTTAGACGCCAACGAGAACTTGAACGTCTTGAAGCTGCAAAGCGAGAGAGGATGGCGCAGGTTGCTGCGCGTCGAGGTGAAATTCCTTCTTCAGTTTTATCAGGTGGCATGGGGGGTTCCTCAGGTGGCCAGATTGGTACACTACCTGTGGTTCCCCCTGCGGGTGGAACCCCGCGAGGGGAGTTTTTCGGTGCTGGCGGTGGCTCACCTTCCATTAGACCGCCGCAAAGTAAATTTTCCTTCGATTTGTTTAAGGGATGACGTGTGACACCGAGGCATGAAAGTTCACTAGTTCAGCATCTGATTATCCTGTTTAGGACCTTTTGGTGGACCTGCTGGTCCTGGCGGCGGTGACCGAGGACAAGAAATCATGGGCCGCAGTGGGCCTATGGATGGCCCACTAGGACGAAATATGGGGCCTCCGTTTCAACAGGGTCCGCCAAGTCAAAGTGGTCCACGTCCTTCTGGCTCAGCAGGTTCATATATATGTGTACGCTTAGAACTGTTTTTATATGTGGAGCGTTTTCAACGCTTTCTTACTGTTACAGAATTTTTTTACATCTTTCAGATCCTAATCTAGTGCAAGGTGTGCAAAAACTTTTACAAATATTCAGGAACGACCCTACTCCAAGACCAATGCAGCCTGGGGTAGGTATTTTCTTTTTAAAAATTCGTATTTTCTACTTATAGTTCCTTTTTCCTCTTTAATTTTGCATTAGAATTATTTCTTGCATTTCAGCCTCCGCATGGTTACGGCGGACCGGGTTATGGTCCGGGTGGGCCAAGTCCAGTGGGCCCTGGAGGGCCAGGTTTCATTCCAGGTCCAGGTGGCCCTGGAGGGTTTCATCGGGGCCCTCCAATGAACGACTATCAACCGCTTGAGAAGAGGATGCGACGATAGCTGCGTGTTTGGTGCTATATTGGCTTGAGCAAACGTGAATTTGTCGTTTTATGCACTTGTTGACTTTCATCAAGCATCTGCCCTTAAGGTTATTTCATACAATCTTTTTTTGTTTTGATACGAGCTCCTGTGGGTTAAAATTAAGGATCAGCTTCTTGCTTTTATTATTTCTTTGCCATCCGTTGTTAGGGACCACTATTTTTCTTCTGTTATGTAGAGGTAATATGTGTAACTTCAGCCGTGATGGTTTTTGTTTACTTAATTTATTGGTTCTAGCTTTGTCATCTTTTATGTTTGTCCAAGAAGTTTTTTACCTATGTTTTGGTCTAATATTGTTACCAAGGTTTGTGAGAAGGGCAACTGGATTAGCCAAGGCTGTTATTTGAGTCTTATTGGTTACTATTGTTAATTTGCCATAAGTTGGGGGATGATTGAACTGAGTTTTGTGTATATGTTATGCGTCATTAATGAATGACTTGCGTTCGACTGTCTTATGATCTGGCGACTTTTATCAATATTTATACAGTGAAATAAAAGAGTATAAAGCATGTTCACTGTTTTATGATTTATTTTTACTCTTGTAGTAATAAATTTGGAGCTTCACTTCAGTTTTGTTTTTGTGGTAGGTCATGGAGGCTTGCCATGGCCAGACCTGGATTTGATTTCAAGAATATTTGGGCGTTGAAACGGCGGTTATTGGAATTTTTGATTAATAGTATTCAGTTGCGGGAGTAGGCTCTGGACTTGTTTGTAAGGTGGTTAGTTGGATTTGTGCCGAGCGTTCTCTGGCGGGGCGCTGTTCTACCTGCAAGTACTCCATTTTTTCTACGGATTTCGGTATTTCTGGTAGCTGTCGTGTGCTCTTGGCAATGAAGGGACAACCTCAGTTCGAATTTGTGCCACGATCGAAATCACATTTCTTACCGCCGTGTACGTTTATTTTCTGATTTTTTGGTGAAATATGCTGAATTGTATTTTACACAAAAGAGAGTGCTGTTCTAGCGGATGAAACAAGGGAACGCAGTGGTCCTCTAGTGCTGGAGGATCGCTCGACGGGACAAGGTGCTGATGGTGAAAGTTTGTTTAACGTTGTGTACAACAATCCATATTTGTCGCTTTCTATACAGCAGCAAAGAGCCAGGCTTCCTATTTTCAAGGTGCTTATTAAATGTTCTGAAAAAGCCACTGTGCTGGAATTTGCGTACGTTTTCACCATGTGATTAAAGATAAAAAAATGAAACTTTTTAGCATCGTAATCAAATTTTATACTTGCTAGAAAAGTTTCGAACTCTTGTGATTGTTGGAGAAACTGGATCTGGAAAAAGTACTCAAGTGCCTCAGGTTGGTAGAGTGTTTTACAGACAGTTTATTTCAAGTCTTTTTGGTTGTTCCAAGGAATTCGATATTTTTTCAGTACTTGTTAGAGAGCGGATGGGCTTCAAATGGAAGAAAAATAGGTGTGACACAACCCCGTCGAGTTGCTGCGGTTTCTGTAGCTTTTGCGCTTCTTTCTTTTCTCTTCTTTTTTTCCAAGTAGAACTGCCTTGTAGAAGGTTAAAAAGAATTTTTTTTGAAACTTCCTCTAAACTTAGTTGGCAAGACGGGTTGCTGAAGAACAGATGTCTAAGTTTGGGGAACTGGTCGGCTATGCAGTTCGTTTCGATGATTCTACTTCAGAACAAACTAAAGTCAAAGTAAGTGTTTTGTCTTGTTTTTAATGTTTTTCGCTGTAGTTATGTTTTTATTTTCTCAGTACCTGACTGATGGCCTGCTGTTACGTGAAATGATGTATGATCCTCTGCTGACGCAGTACAGGTTTTCATTTTGAATTTATTTCTTTGACATAGGTTTATTTCTTTCTTTAATTGTTTCTGATTAGGTAAGGATTTGCAGTTAAATGGCGGTAATTAACTTCTTCCAGCTTCTGATTCAAACTTGCTTTCAAAATTTTCAGTATTTTGATGATTGACGAAGCCCACGAGCGTTCAGTTACAACTGACTTAATATTAGGTTTATTAAGGAAAATTATTGTTGCACGGAATGATTTTCGAATTATTATTTCTTCTGCTACTGTGGACGCCGTTGTGAGTTTCTGTCTTTATCGCTCCATAGATTTCTTCTAAAAAGAAACATTTCAATAATTTAGCTTTTTCGTGATTTTTTCGAGTTGAATGAAACAAACGACAAACATAAAGATACTGCTGTAATATTATCTGTAGAAGGAAGAGTTCATCCTGTTACAGTTTATTATACTTCAAGGTCAGTTCATTACTTGAGGTCTTCGCTTCTTGACTTGGTAGCACATTGAATTATTGGTTTTTTAGTAGCGTACCGGATTATATCAAAAAAACTATGCAGACGGTGCTGTACATTCATAAGAACGAAGGTGCGGGAGACATCTTGGCATTTCTAACTGGACAAGATGAGGTTTGAATAACAGCTTTTTTACTTAAAAAGTGTACTTCTATATCGATATTTTCATCTATAGCACCTTTTTTTGCAGGTTGAAAGCCTTTGTAACATGCTCAGTGAAGAGATTAGAAGTTTGAAGCAGGTTGATAAACTATGGATAGTACCCTTATATGGTGCTCTTCCTATAAAACAACAAGTTAGTGCATTTCGTACTTCCATATTTATCTTTCATCTATGGGTTTCTTAATTTTTATGAGGTTTTCAAGCTCTTTTTTTGTTTCTATTTCACTGGCTCTAGTTATTTAGCTGAAAGCTTTTGATTCGACTCCATCAAATACGCGAAAAGTTGTGGTCGCTACAAACATTGCCGAGACGTCACTAACTATTCCGGGCGTAGTTTACGGTTATTCTTCCTAATGCTTTTAAAACCCCGCCAGAGTTTTCTAATAAAGTCTCTTTAAGTACCGCCGTTGACCGGTCAACTTTTCTATTTCCTTTATAAGAAATGCGTTATAATTTATTTTAGTTATCGATTGTGGTTTTGTTAGACTTCGCGTTATAAATTACACTAATGGGTTAGAAACGCTGATGACCATACCGATTTCCCAGGCATCTGCGGAACAGCGTGCCGGCAGAGCTGGAAGGATACGGCCTGGAAAATGTTTTAGACTTTATCCTGGTTATCTCCCTTGTTCTATTTTGTAGTACTTGAGTTGGTATCTATATTATTTGTGACTTGTTATAGAGGATGCGTATGACAAGCTAATGAAATATACAATACCTGAAATTCAACGTATCTGTCTCG